TGTGTGTGTGTGTGTGTGTGTGTGTGTGTGTGTGTGTGTGTGTGTGTTGCTTTGACAGACTTGGAGACCAGAGAGCAACAAGCAGACGCTCAGAGCCAGGATGAGGTGCAAAACACTAGAACGCTTGAAGAAGAGGTAAGAGAATTTATAGAAACCGCATGAGAAATGAAAAATGCACCAAACATAAGCCGGGGAAGATGTCGGAAAAATGTAAATACAAAAAGTCACTGTACTACAGGCCTGTAGCAGCGTACTGGGAACAAGGTATTCCAGTGCATCCAGGAACCTCTGGAGCACACCCAGGTGTTTTTATTCTGTTTTTCGTCAAATACTCCCTTCTGATTTAGTTGAAATCTTCCAAAGACTTGGGTCAGGAACAAAGGCTGCATCTGAGAGAAGCTATTTGTTTTCACTGATGTATCACAATGATCAGTAAACCCATTATAGGTGATATTGCATGACTTGGTGCACTTTGTTCAGAAAGCCAATGATGAATAAAAAAAAAATGGTGTGAATGCTTCCAAGGTTGAGTCATGGCCTGTGCTTAATGTGCTAAATGCATATAAATATGTGGCCACGTGCCGTGTGGGAGAGGAGGTAGCCAGTAGGTGGCACTGTTCCATCTTCTTTCTCATCTCAAGGGATCGTTGCCTTAACAGAGGAAATCAAATAGTCTGCACACTTTCCTGGAAACACAGGGTAGCAGACAGTGTCTTAGAATGGGAGAGTCATATAGGTGAAGAAGAAGAACAATGATTCATAACTAGTGTGTCTGCCTGAGCACGTTACTGTATCGCATGCGTCTGTTTCTACCAGATAGCCCGTTTGAGAGAGGAGGGATCCCGGCAGCTTGAGGAGGAACAGAGGCTCATCCGGGAGCAGATCCAGAGAGAGAGAGAAGCACAGCAGCAGCAAACGGGAGACGGACGTATGTACACTTCCACGATTTAACCCGAGCCAAGTCTGCTCCGGGTCCAGGTTAACCAAACCGGTTCAGCGCAGGCCCGTTCTGCTCGGATGAATCCAGTTTGATCCAGTGAAGTCGTCTTACGATACTGAAAAACCTCCCTCTGTTTCCCAACCGTCATGCTGTCAGTCAAACCACAGCAGTCACCAGGTTCCCAAACTATAAAAATAACTGAATGTATTTTTGAATTCATGTTTTGCACTTTGAAGAAGTCTATTTTAGTTTCTTGGCAGTAAGAAATCTGGTAACAGAGCAATGCCAAGCACCACACACACACACACATAGTTTTCCATCAAACTTTTAACCGCCTGATAATACTTTTGCTTTAAAGCGAGAGTGTCTCCATTTCGGAGACATGAAAAAAAAAAGTAAGACTCTTGTAAAATAAGACCATAGAAGTGTGTGTATTTAAGGGGAAGTACTGATTCTTGGCCCTGGACTTCGATCCATTTTTGTGGCTGGACAATTACTTATGCATCGTCAGCACGCCTTTTGAGTCTCCTCCATTTGCACGCAGTCAGGCCTCCCCAGCCCTCCACTCGATCAGTGCTCTGTCTGTTCTCGAGAGGCACCCGGTGGATCGCCGGCCTGTACTAAGGGCCTTACGTCTACCATATGACAGCCAGAAAGTATCTTGAGTGCTGCGTTTCTTTCCTCAACGAAACAGTTGTTTCCTTGTCTTTTCACTTCACTTATCTTATTCCCCTCTCATGTTTTTCTTTTTTATTTTTATCAGATTCAGGAGTGGAGGGATGTTTTAAGAACAATGTGACCCCCAAATTGAAGGTAAGGCTTCTAGTCAGTGGACGAGACGGAGAGGTCAGGATGAGGGTTGCGGCTCTTAGAGTAACGCCGGGAGATGGAAAAATAAGGAACGGCTCCATCTGAGTGAAAGTGCAGGCGGAACCTCAACGGGGGTTTTTGATATGGCCTAAGACATTTTGTAATTCATTATTTTGGAGACCACATACGCTGTCTCACCACTGAGCCCATTCCTCCAGAGTCGGCCTGATGTCCTCAGGAGACCTGTAACTATGCCAAGAGAGAGCTTATTATATTTCCTCCTGGAAATGGCCGAGCCTGTGCATATTAACGGACACTGGGGATGTTAGCTAATGTGTTTAGACATTAAATCTGGTTTTAAAAGTCGATAGTTATCTAGTGCACAGCGTATTCCCCGACATTTGTGTGTTCAGTTAGAAAAACAAACAGCAGCTGTAAGACTGATGTTATCACGGGTCACGTTCTTATGTTGTCTCTAGACTCAGACTGAGAACAATGTTTTTCCTTGCGGTAAGACTAATGTATCTTTAACCTGATTCACAATGATATGGCATTACAGGAGATCATTTAACATTCTCAACATCAATAAAGCAGCAAACAACTGTGTGCGTGTGCGCGTGCGCGTGTGTTCATTTTCGTTTTCTAACCATTGTAGTTGTCCTGCAGTCACCTTTTGGTATGGATGGAAATTGACTGCAGGTTTCACAGGTGGTGCCGGAGTGATGTTCCAAGAGTTTAACAAAGTCTCTCTCCCATAGCTCCAGCCTGTCCTGATGGTTATGCTAGTCTGTGTCATCACTGTCAAGGTTACTTGGCATACTTTGTGTCCTCATCAGCGGAGTCTAATCAAGTGTGCTCTACTGCATACCACGCACTTCTATTTTTTAATTTTTGAAAATCGTGACTAATAAAAGCCTCTCCTTTCTGTCTTCTTTCTCAGTTAAAGTGGAAGTGTAAAAAAGATGACGAGACGAATGGAGGCTACTCTCAAGACATTCTTTTCACACTCCTGCAAAAGGTACACATCCTAAAAATGTAAACAAGTACTTCCACAATGTTACAGCAAAACATCTATCTTTTCACACAACAGAGTATCAGTAAGGTCCCATTTTGGATTGAATAATATACTGAAATAATCCTTGAAGAAGCTACCCAGGTGACTACCTCTTTACTATATCCGTTTTAGGACATTGTAGGCAGTGTTGTAAGTGAATGAGCAAGACTGCTTTACAGGAATTCTGCATTAATGTGACGAAGTATAAATGTGAGGAATATAATCGACTGGATTAACCAAAAACAGACGTTCTCATCAGAGTACTTAATCTACGAATTGTTTTCCAATCAAATGTTCTTGAAATTCGATATATAAGGATAAATACTAATATTGAAATATAAAATTCCATGAATTGTACAACGACAGAATTTTCTCTCTTTTATTCTTGCGGCCCCAAAGCAGAGCTACCGCGGTATCGCACTCGCCTGCAGAGTCCGGCCGTATTTGAGGTCTGCATGACATCAGCGCTGTAGATTGTTTTATTCTTCCCCTTAAACGAGGCCCATTAAGTTTTGTTGCTGTGAAAGTGCTGAGGGCAATGTTGTAGTGCCCTTTTACAGCCACGCACGCCATTGTTTGTGCCCCTCTTACCAGGTGATTAAGCAGTGCCAAGGGAGGCGTTAGGAAATGTGCTCTTCTCATGCAACCCAGTACCACCTTATGTTATGATCCGTCACAGGGGGCTTTTGGTGGGGCATAGATTGGCCTGAAATGAGGAGAGGGCAAGCGTCAGTGACGTCAAGCTGGCCGTAAAAAAGGGGTATGAATTGCTCCTTTGCACGAACTAAATCAATATGGCTCCAGGCAGGAGGGCTGTGTCATCATAAATACTGTGTGGAAGAAAAAAAAAAAAAAAAGTGTTGCTCCTTTTTTAAATTCTTAGGCAAAGGGAGTACAGTTCAGGGAAAGCTTGTGTTTGAGATGGCAAGCTCCAGTGACTGACGGTTAATGTTTTGGGCAAGTCAAAATAGCCCCGCTGTGTGGGAAAGTATGCTACGTGTATACTCGTGCGTGCGTACGTACGTGTGCAGACTTGTGTACTTTGGCGGCTAAAAATAATTTGTCGATTTAAAAGGGGAACAAAACGTGTTAACATTTCCATTCTATGAAACGGGCCTTCTGAGAGTCTCTTTTGTCACTGTTGGCTTGCTCCAGAGTGTCCTTCGTAGATATTAGCATTCCTGGACTTTCCTGTTCCCAGAAAGCTACATTTTCACAGGATGAGATTCTCTAAGGCCACGTCCATCCTCCTCCTGTCCCACAAGCCCCTGCGTTAGTCGGGGAGAGGTTTCAGACAAAAGGCCTCAGTTATAAATGATGAAAAAACCCTGAGGGATTAAAAAACAACGTTGCTCTGCTATCGGTTGCCTTCAGTAGGGATCAGGTTTTTGTCTCCCCTGCTAAGACGGGTTTCTACTCTTCCTCCTCTTCTCAGACGGAGATGTGGGAACGTCTGAGATGCTCTTTGCCCGGCTCCCCTTTGTGGCCAACCTTTCCTTCCTGTTTTGATTTGTGGCAGGAAGTTGGATGAGAGACACGTCTAATTTCAGCTTTCAACCAAAAATATTGTTTATCAAATGCAATTGCACAAGGAATAGCTAAAATGATCCAATATTGCCTCTTGTCTGACTTTTGTACATGATGTTCATTGCAGTATTACTAACTCAGTCCCAAACACACAAACCCTATCATTAGAGTTCAGTTTTAATAACCAAACACACATTAAATCCTAACTTTTATTCCAGAAGTCTTTTATATTCACCCGTGTTTTCAGTGCTTCAGTCTGCATACAGTATGCTTTATGTTTTCATACTTATGGGTTTTGCTGCGAAAGGAAGTACTTATTTGAATGTTCTGCATCTCTCCTCTTCCTCCGTTTGACTTTTCTTTTATTCTCCCGTTTCTTACCTCTAGTATGGAGACGTTTCGAATGTGATCATATCGAGTAAGAAGAGAGGAAGCGCTGTGGTTGAATTTGCAAACGTGAGAGCAGCTGTAAGTACCCAACTCTTCCCCGGTCAGTGTCCTCATTCGGTTTGTTCAATTCTAGACATCTTCTTCCAAAACAAGACATTTTCATGCAGCCACATTTGTTTACCACTTACTTTCCTCAAAGTCTCTGGTTACCTGCTGAGTTTGGTTATTACTAAAAGTGACGCCTTGTCATAGATTTCCCAGCCTCAGGACAGTTTCTGCAACCTGAACTAATGTTTCAGTCATTCTGTAGCGTGGAGTTCTCTGTGCTGATGGGAACCATTGGACGGAAGAACTTGAGCCGCTTCATTGTTCCACACTGTCTGGATCCTCAGGCCCTTTGTCTTGATGGTGTACTATTTTGTTGGGGTTTCCTCCCCACAACGTGTGGTTTCCCTCCAGAGAGCATGCCTGCCAGTCTAAAGGGATCTGGGCACAGGTTCTGTGGTCTCTGCCTGTCCAACTCCAGGTCCCAGTCTTGCTCTGGGAGTTGGCCCAGTTACAATCCACCGTTGTCCTTGTCTACATGTGTTCTTCATATTTATATAATACCCAGGTGTAAGAAGGACACAACACAATTTCTTACAGCTATCCGGACACGGAGAGTGTTTTTTTGTCCTAATAAAATACTGATAGAGAAACGTAACCAAAGATCCACTCATGGACCTTTTTTGTGTTTTTTAGGAGCTGGCAGCTAAAAATGAAATTGGCCTGAGTAAAAACCCCTTGAAGATTTCGTGGCTGGAAGGACAGCCCGAGGTTATTGCTCCAGCTTCTCAACCTGGCCAGTTCATATCCTCACAGGTACCAGTACAACCATTCTCTCTCTCTCATAAAGCATGTTGGCCTTACGTTACAAAATCTTCCCATCTACACAGCGTCCAACAACAATACTATTGCCTAAACACTGTCCCACAAAGAGAAGTATGCAAACCTTTTAGAGTTTTTTTTTTTTTTGTATTGTATCATTGTTGTGAGTATTACACCAGTGCTTGCACTCCCCTTGCATGATCTAGGACAATGTGTTTGGTTAAATGGGCCTCAGTTTATTTGATTTGGAGAGGTGAGGCGCTGGCCTGGGACTGGCCCACAGCCCCCGGTCGGCTACTCATTAACAGGCCTGACCTGGGAGACCCCAGGAATGCTGCGCTTCACATGGCAGCACAGAAGAAGCAGTGTTCAATAATGGTAGCCTGGCACGTGAGTCTGACCAAATGTCCGCATTGGTGTGATTGGTGCCTTTGTCTCTATATTGCTATTGATATAGCATAATATAAAAGTTATTTTTTTAGATTTTAATTTTGCTGCACAAATCCCAAACTGACAAAAACACGTTCCCCTTGATGTGTAAGTGTTGCTTCTCGTAAAGTGAAAGTCACAGTAGTCCGTACTGCAACCTCAGCTTCTTTTAATTGATTTTGTAGGCTTAATATTTTGTCTTCAGCTGCCAGAACACATTCACACACCAGAGACACATCAGCTCTTTTCCTGTTCAAGAGTAATCTAATTTCAGCCGAATCCGCTGAGAATCTCCAACGTTTTTCTTCGTTGTCATTAGATTAGTATGAAGTAATGTTTTTTTTTACCCACTGTGTCCATTTCACTTCTCCGATGTTATGATCTTTACCTGTGAGGGATTTCAGCTCGGTAGACTCTTTCTACTTATTTGTGTCTCCAGAGCTGCTGCTGAACCGGGTTTCACCCCTAAAACTCGGTGCGGTGTCTCAGACCCCCCCTCGTCAAGGCTAGCATGTGAGACTCGGCCTGCACACTGGGACTTGTCACACTAATCCCTTTAAATGTTATTATGGTAACCCGGGTCGCCTTACAGATATCCAAAGCTGATTGCTTCATACTTTTTTTTTTTTTTTTTTTTTTTTTTTTTTTTTTTTTTTTTTTTTTT